CAATATTTGTCAAACTCATCAGTGACCTAATGGGTTAGGTTTTTTCAACCTCATTTTACAGGTTGGGAAAATGAGTTCCAAATATTAGAATTACCTATACATGATAGTGTAGAGCTGGGACCCTGAGTTCTTTCTCCAAGGTACTATTGCTATTGCTACAACCTAAGTTAACTCTGCAGGAAGGAAAACTTACACATATCCAGAACAACAGAGTGAAGCTAACTCTGCAACCACATTTCAACTGATGTCATAAGCACTAATTGACAGCTTGCTGGGGCCCTGTGTTAGGAGCTCCACTTCCAGGCATATGATGTCTCATTTCGCTTATGCTTTCTTTGATTCACAGGAATGAATTCAGAGCATGGACGGACATCAAGCCTGTGAAACCAATAAAAGCGAAGCCCCAGTACAAGCCCCCAGATGATAAGATGGCTCATGAGACCAGCTACAGTGCCCAGTTCAAAGGGGAGGCCAATAAGCCCACACCAGCCGATAATAAGTTCATTGATCGCAGAAGAGTACGCAGCCTCTACAGCGAACCTTTTAAGGAATCCCCGAAGGTGAGACAGACCTGTGGGGAGCCCGTCAGAACAGCCTGGGATGGAAAAGTTAACTGCAGCAGAGCATGGGGGTGGGGCTACCACCATCTCTGGCTCAGCACCCAAAGGCACCTTTAAAATCCCTCCTTTCCTCTTTAGCACCCTGAGACAGAGGGGCATCTTCAAAGGGAACTTTTGTTAAATTCAAAAGGAATAGTAAAAAGGAATATTACCTAAAATAAAAACAGCTTAATGACTAGCGGATTTCCAGAGAACTAGCTTCTGATTTTAAGAACTCAGAAAACAAACAAAAAAAGGGGGCAGAAAATCTCATCTGAGCCCTAAATCTCTTTGCCTTAAAATAACTGTGCTTTTGCCCCTACAGGGCTCACCCAGTATTGCAGGCGCCTTTGCCTAGCTTTCTTCCCATCCAGCCCCTGCCTCATCCCTAGCTCCCATCACTGGACCCTTCCTTACCTCCCCAGCCCCTGGAAAACTGTCTGCCCTTTCTCATTCTTTCCCTTGATAAACGCCATCCACCAGCAGTTCTCAACCTGTCTAACACCCGTCGTACCAGCAGCAAGATGTGTGCCAAGTAATTTGTTACTATAATAAACAGTTTGTGAATGATTCACATTTCTAACTAAATTATAGTGGATTCAGGGATTTAATAACACTGCTCTGCCTTATTTGCATTCCAGTATGCTTTCACGAAAGGGAGAGAAATGTTGGAGATACAACTGGTGAAGCAGGAATCACACATGCCACACAGCCTAGCACGTCCATGATGTCAGGGCGCGTGGAATTGTGTAACTGTCTCCTGTATCTAACAGCAGATAAAGGTCTGAGAACCACTGCTCTAGAACCTAAATAGGTTCCTGCTTTTGCCCTACAGTCTTATGCTCAAGAGAAGTTTCTTATCTGGCTCAGGATTAGTTTATAGGTAAAGTGACCAACCAACCCAGTTTGCCTGGGACTGTTCCAGTTTTAGCACTGGAAGTCCCATGCCCCAGAACCCTTCAGTCCCAGGCAAACCCGGATGATTGGTTACCTTCCTTATAGGTCAAGGATGACTGAAAACCGCTAGACCTCAGTGAGTGAGTGACCTAACCTGTCAGGCCCAAAGAAGAGTCGAGGAGAGGAAGGAGGGAAGATTGGGGAGAGTAAATGTAGAGATGGATTGGAGGAAGTCATGCCTAGTGGCTGCAGGGTTCTCTGGGAAAGAGAAGGCCAGGCCATCTCCTAAGAATGAGGGGAGCCAAGCTACAGGAGAAAGCTTGGGAAGAGTGGAGTGGGCTTGGAACAGCTGCTCTGGGAGAAGCGGTCAAGGGAGCCAGCCAGAGACGAGGAGAGGATGGCTGGGCAGTGCTGAAGGCCTGTCTGAGACTGGAGACCTTCTGGCGGAAAGCATCTCAGTGAGGACATTTCTCCATGAGCTCCCAACCTAGAGACACAAACAGAGGGAAGGCCAGCTTATGCTGCAGTCGTAAAACACCCCAGAATCTACGTGTCTGACATCAACGAAGGTTTATTTCTGACATACACATGTCCATGTGGGGTGGCTGCCACTCTACTCACATCTGTCCTGTCTTCAATCTGGGACTTGGAGTGATGGAGTACCTCTCACTGTGGCAGAAGGAAAAGAGAGCATTAGAAGCACATGCTGACTCTTGAATCTTCTGCCTGGAGGTGACCCACATTACTTTTGCTCACATTTCACGACTAAAGAAACTCACATGCCTGCGCCTCCCCCCGCCCCATTGAATACGGTGATGAGGTATAACCTTCCCACGGGGGGGCAGAAAATATTGCACAATAGTAATAGAGTGCACCGCCGGGGCAGTCCAGGGTTAAGAACTGGCAGGGCCAGCGAGCCAGTGTGGCCAGTGAGAATGTTGTCACAGTGACTGACAGGGAGGTCCAACAGGAGAAGCCAAGGGTCCTGACACCTATGAAAATACTTCATACACTGTGTTCCATCAGTGTCAAAGTTTATCATTGCTGTTATTCTTTAATTAATAATGTCTTCCTTCTAAACTCTTTCTCCTGCCCCTCCCCTTTTGTGGTTCTGTATTTGCGTCTGTCTGTCTCTCCTTGCAGGTGGAGAAAACTAGTGTTCAGAGTTCCAAACCAAAAAAGACCTCCGTGAGCCATAAGCCCCCAAGGAAGGCCAAAGACAAGCAGGTGGTGTCGGGCCGGGCCGCCAAGAAAAAGAGCGCGGAGGGTCCCAGTCCCGCCAAACCCGATGACAAGGAGCAAAGTAAAGAGATGAACAATAAACTGGCTGAGGCTAAAGAGTAAATTTCACTGCACTTTCCTTTTTATTCTTCTCTCCTTTCTTTTTTTTCCCCCCCAAACCAACAAATAAAAAAGGCCACAAAATTAATTAGAGGCTTCTCATCTGCCTTGGTCCTGAGTGTTCCAGGAGCCGGTTGGCTTGGTTTCTTTTCTTGGAGGAATCCTATTTCCAAGACGGTGTGGCTTGCCTCCTCTCTAAATCTAGAACAGAGGGCCTGAGCAGAGCCCATGCTTCCCGGCCGCTGGACCCCAGGAACACCAGGCAGCATGCTTGCTGGGCTGTGCCTTCCCCTGTCAGTGAGACGGCGAGACGCATGCTGATAAGGCAGGCAGGTCTTAGCGCACACGGCAGTTCCCAGGTAGCTGCTGAGGAAGTCTCCTGGTAGTGCCTGGAAGCATCGGTAGGGTGTCCTCCTGCGATTCTTCCCCAGGGCCTGTTTCAGTGGTCAATTTTGAAGTTCTTTTCCCAAATTCAGAAAATTATCCTGTGTTATAGAAGCTCAACTTGGGCTTCAGCGATTGACAAATTTTTGTGGGTATAGTTAAAAAAAAAAACAAAAAAACAAAAACAAACCTTGGCCTTAATGTCAATGAAACAAAGTGAGTTGTGTCTGCTAAGTTTAAGTCGTTTTTTTCATAGAATATTCTGTTCGAAATGTGTGGTGTATTTAGTTTTCAATCAGTGGGCTTTAAATTGTATATCCAGTCACAGACAGGCCACTGATGACTAGAACTAGGCCAGGGTGGTGAAAAGATTAGGTGTTTAGGTACATTCTAGAAGTCATAGGAAAGTCACAAAAAAGAGGAGATTATTTTCCTCTGTTCACCTTCAATAGACTACCTGTCTAGTGCTGCCGATTTTGTAGAGCAAGTGATTAGAGGTGACTGAGGAAAAAGTTCAAGGTGTAGGGATAGTGTATTTAGAATGTGACTTTCTTGCTTCTGAGAAACACAATGTGGAAAGTAGACATAGTGGTTAAGTGTGGCGATTTTTAGCTCTTCCCTTTCTGAACGATTCTTGCTCTGTTCCTCAGAGGACAAAGGATGCCTGAGCTTCAGGTTATGGGGAAATTTCTATGACTTAGCTAAAGACTAGGAGAGTTCCCTGCTAAGTGATTAGCAAGCATTTTTGGCCTCATTAATGAATCAAAGCAGCTCTTCGAAGTATTGTGTGTCAGTGTCCGTGTGGCCAAAGCTCCCACCTTAGCTGTGCTAGAGTTGTGTTGTAGGAGTTAGGGAGTTGGTGTGAAAAGATCCCCAGTGCTCACAGGGAAACCCAAAATATCTAGCAGAAAAATTATATTTGCAAATGTAAAGCATTGTGATGTGTATATTGATTCGCACACTTCGGTTCTCGTGTCCTTAAAGGTCCTAATAGTCCCCAGCATTCTGAGACTGCTGGACTATTGTATGACATCAGGCCTCTGCTCAGGCCTTCTTTTCTTTTGTAATGAAACTGGTGAAGAGTGAAGGTCTCACAGTTCCTTACCTGGGTCCCCTAGGTACTTCCTGTTCAGAGGAAGCAGACTTCCACAAGCTCTCTATTGTTGGGACCACTCAGGCAGCAAAGTCTCCATTTACACCATTTTGTTGGGCACATTGGGGCTGATTGAGAAGTCTTAGAATTAATTAATTTACAAGCCTAAGTTAATTTAGGATGTGCCGTGCGGGCCATACATTTTAAGAGAACAGGGATACTAGAAATGAAGCGCTCTGTCAGGCCCCCTGCGATTTTCCTTCTATCTCAGGAAACAGACCTGTGAGGAAGGAGAAGTATTGAAGTAGGTAGAAAATGTTAGTGAGTCTCAATGTTTATGAATCACAAGTTTTGAATGCCTGCCTAGAAATGACTAGAGTAGACCTCAGTGTTGATCCCGGCTATTTGCTAGCTCATCTTAACATTAACCAGAGATCTCTATCAACATGTTCTTAACTTTATCCAGAGAATTCCAAAATTTATGTTTGTTCTCTCAAGATCTGGCATTAGTCAGACATGTTGATGTTAGCTGCAATCTGAATTTTTCCGTAGCATAATCATATTTTTTTTGGAGATCAAGTAAATCTAAGTTTACAGCACACAGGGACATTCATTCAACATGTATTTATTGAATGCCTGTGTGCCAGGCACTGTGCTAGACATGGTGGGTAATATAAATAAATCTGTGTCCCCAGCAACACAACCAGAAGGATGCATGTGGCTTGATCCCAAATTGTAGAGTTTACTGCAGGGCCCCATGGGCTTCTCCACCCACCTGGCAGCCCCCAGGGACTAAGTTTCCTACCCTGCCCCACCTGAGGCTTTAGATGACCTGTATAATGTCTTTCACAACCCTTCAGAATCCCCATCTTTTTAACACACCCCACTACATACCTGCTTGTTTGTAGTTCACTTTGACTCTTGAATGTTTGCAAGAAACTTCCCTTTGATATCTACTGTTTACAAATAAAACTCAACTAGTCTCATTCTGTATCCCAAGCATACTGATTGAAACTGATTTTAGTTTCACAAGCACTGTTTTGGTTTCACCTTTCTGAAGGTGACCAAGCTTCCAATGCCTGTTCCACCCTTTTTTATACATGTCTCCATGGTCTCCCTGTGCCCCCCTGGCAGGAGAGCAAGAGCTGAAGCTTTCCCACTGTCTGCTCCGCCTGCCTGCAAAAATGATCCGTAGAACCGCACGTTGACTCCCCCACAGCTTTCTGACACCGCCCTGTGCTCCCATCTGCTCCGTATGCCTTTGCCTCTCAGAGGCAGACAGGAAGTGTCTAATTACGATTTTGTGGCCTGGGTTTTGTTGCATACCACAGATTGTCTATGTAATGTGTAGCGCACACCTCTCTTGGTGCTATTTCATTCCTGCTGTTAGTAAGAGAATGACAAAAAATATTCATGTATAGCCAATTGATTGTGACGTGCTTGTGGTCTGTGCTTGCTCAGAAAAAAAAAACTAACAAACGAACAGTTTTTCCAATTATAAATAAATGCTAAAGACGAACACCACTTTCTCGATCTTATTTCCTTGGTGAGGCCCAGCTGAGTAGGTGAAGGAACCAGCGTTTGTCATTTGAGCCATTCTCCACGAGAGGAGCTGTGCCCTGCAGTTTTCCTGGGGTTCTCCATAATGCAGCTTGACTCTTTTAGATTGCTTCTCAGATACTAATTGCAAGGAGTCAGAGCTAAGTGTGGGAAAAGCGAAGATGGACCGGGAGACCCACTGGCCAACAAGGTAGTGTAACGTTTTCATCCCATGTTGCCGGGGACCAGTGACCGCCTGTGCCTAGCACCACCTCGCCATGCTGGGACGCTGGGTGCTGACCCTCTACCCCCTTCCTGTCAGCTGGCAGAGATGCCTTCACTGATTCATTTAATCTATGGCCACTTTGGAGGTTCTACCCTCTGGGGGCTGGCTCACTATGTGGGTAATGGGGCACCAAATAGTTGTATGCCTAACACAGGGGTGCGATACAGCCATAAGAGAGGCCCGAGTAAGGTTATAACAGGTCAGGTAGCTGGGAGCTCAGATGAAGGTCAGGTTTCTTCCTCCTGGGGGTGAGGGAGCACAGAAAGCTCCATGGCAGAGGTAGCCTTGGAGAATGGTGGGACTTGGATACGCAGGGCATACAGGAGCAGGCCTACAGGCAGGTGAACAAGTATGGGGATGGGAATATGTGGGGGCCTGGGTGGCAACCTCAAAGCTAAGGCCAAGTTTGCCCACTTTGATACCCCTTCTGCTAAAGCAGAAGACAAAAGATTTAATACTGTGCATGATTCCCCCTTCATTTATCCAGTGCATGTTCATTGAGTACTATTATGTGCCAGGCACTGTGCTGGGCACTAGGGTAAGCAGGGTGACCAGAACCCAGCCTCTCTGATCACAGTGGTGTGTGAAGGAAGAATGCATTCTAGCTGGTTCCGTGAATCAGGGAGGACTTCAGCAGATGGATAGGTGTTGACCAGGTGAACTGGGCCGGGGGAGGCAAAGGCATGCCAGACAAAGGGAGCTGCATGAGCAAAGGTGTGGAGGGCACAAACACCAGGTGAACCCAGGCCCCGGAGGGTAGTTCATCTGGGGAAGGTCAAGGCACAGGCAGAGCTCAGTCATGGAAAGGCCTGGAATCTCCATTCCATATGCCCAGATTGCACCCCACACCCTTGCATGCTCCTCGCCATCATGCTTCTCTCCCTCACCCACACAGCAGGCAACAACTACAGGTCCTCTTTTGCTGTAGGCTAGGAGCTCGAGGGTGGGACCTTTATTCTATTGCTGGTCCCTGATTTCTGGGTTGGGAGGGGCAGTGGTAGGAATCAAGGGTCACATAATGAAAAAACCACTATGTGTTTGTTTTCCAGATGAATAGAAAACATTCTGCCCACCTGCCTGCCTTTGTATGAGGCAGGAAACACAAAATATTGTTCAGTAAATAAAACAAATACATAAAAGTATATATTATTCAGAGGCCTGGTGGCACAATGCTACTGCTGCTAACCAAAAGGTCAGCAGTTCAAATCCACCAGCTGCTCCTTGGAAACCCTATGGGTCAGTTCTACTCTGTCCGATAGGGTCACTATGAGTCAGAATCGACTCGATGGCAACAAGTTTGGTTTTTCGGTTTTATATATTATTCAGCTCTCTCGATCAGTTAAGGGAGAGAGACAAAACCGGGATGGAGAGAGGTGGAAAGGAAGGAGGGAAACAGGTAGACACAGAGGCACAGAGAGAAAAAGACGTGCAGAAAAGCATCTATATGAAGACACTGAGAATGGTGTAAGAGTGAGACATATTCGAATTATCAGAGAGAGGGCAGGAGAGCAGGGAGGCCTTATTAGCGTTATAGACGCTGCCACGTAATCAGGGCTCACTCAGAGCCTCATACGCCTGCTGTTTCCATCACGCATCTCTGATGCTTGGCCAAAGCCCAAGGAGACAAATATATAACCCATTGCTAATACTGCTTCCCTAAAACAGCAAACCAACAATATTAAAACTAGCCCTCTGGT